TAAATTCTGTCTTTCGTATCCTATGTCTGTTTTCTTGTGTCTCTCATTTTAATCTTTCTGGTCTCGTCTCATTTCTTTCTAACCATCTCATTTCTCTTTCGTTTCATCTCTGATCTCCTTTCATTCTCACTGTCATTCTCGCGTCTTTTTCTCATTTCCAATGTTTTGTCTTGCCTATCATCTCTTTCTTGTCGTTAATAAAAAATAAATAGTTTACGAGACATTTTATAAAAAATGTACTAAAATTTTTTTTAAATTGATGATTTTTATCAAGATTTTTTAAAATGAAACATCCTAATTTTGATTCCAGAATCTAATAGCCGTAGAGAATTTGTAATATTGTAATAAAGTTTTTTATTGAGTACTTTTCGAATTAGTCAAAAGTAACAGTACAACCGGCATTATCCAAGGTGTCCAATCAACGGCTAAAACCTGAATATTATTAGGATCATGTCCTGATAACATTTGTTAAAATCAAGGTTATTGGGGATTATTCTTCTCATTTTCATTTTTGCAGTAAAATTCATTTTTACTATAGTCAAAAAGTATCATAAAAAGTATATCATTTTATTTATTATGTTTTTAAGAATGAAATTACAAAATTTGGATCGTTAATAGACTTCATAACTTCATAAAATATAAAACAAGTTTCATGGTAAAATATTTCTTCTACGAAACAACATAATGATAGAATCTACTAGAGAAGATATGTAACTGCACCACAAATGAGATGGCTTGAGTCAAACCTTAAGAATTAAATACGTAATACAGCACATGGAAAAGATTCCTGTGATGGTATTGATGGCAATTTAAAACTCGTAAGAAAAACTAGTTAACAGAGAAATGTCATACTCAATGCCAAGGTATTTTACATGTGGACCAAAAATAATTTAAAAGACAATTTTTTTTATTTAGTCCAAAATCAATTCACGATAAATTAATGGATAAATATAAATTTTTAGAACCAAAATTCGCAAAAATTATTCTGCAGGTTAAAATATCAAAGATTATTCTTTGAAAAATCAATTTATTTTAAAAAATTCAGTTATGATGAGGAACGAGACCTCTTTCCAAAGGAAAAGAAGAAATATTAATAATAAATGGATTTTAAAAATATAAAAACGCTTGTAAGACTCCAGAAGTTTTTTCATTTCATAATTATATGTTAAAAATATATTATTGAGCATTTAGTTAAATAAATGTATTATGTAATATTAAGTAAGTAGATTAATTAATAAAGTGATATTATCAAATTTTTGGCGAAAATTTCAATTTTATTTAGTAAAAAAATTCATTTACTAGAATCCTATTATGACCCCAAAATTTCTTTTATAGCATTCTACATATATTGGAATATTTTTTAAGAATTTTTTCATATTTTTAAAAGTAAATATAATTTTTTATTTATTTACTTAAAGTTAAAAAATTTGATTTTTTTTCTAGAATATTTATTTTTTATTTTTCTAGAATATTTATTTATTTTTCATTAAAATTAATTTTTTTATCTGAAAGTATGGGAAAAATTCTAAAAAATTCATATGTATAAAAATTTAATATATTTGTAATTTTAATTACAAATAACAATAAAAAGAGAACTTCTCTAAATGATTATCTCTAATATTTTAGGTGAAAGGCATATAATACTTATTTTTTTTATTTTTAATGTATGTGTCCATTTACATGTTTTCATGATTATTTTGAAGGTCCCAAAGTTTATTTTTGGGTGGACTCCTTTCACGTGGAACATCCTATATATATGTTTATCATATAGAAATTTTGTTTATAGAGATTTTTTTATCTTTAATTATATATATTTGTTAAAAAATAACTTACAATATTTTGTTGAAAAAATTTGTAAGTTTCAAAAATACATGAATTAATTATATTTTTTAAATTGTATTAATGTTAACATTAACAAATCTGATCACAAGTAAAATGTAAATAAATATATTCAAGTAACTTTATGAAAATGAATAAAGGTTGTCAATAAATTACAGTCTAGAAATGTCATTTTATTATCAACATTTAAAACAGAAAAACTTAGTCTTCAACTTTCCTTTTTCTTTTTTTAAAAAATGTATTCTTTTTATTAATATACTTTTTTTCGTGTGATCGAGAAATGGTAACACTACATTACACTATATGCATATAAAATACAACTTTTAGGTTATAAACGTTCGGTGTCTAAGGTGTCTAAGGCTGCTTTTCTTTTAGGAGACATAGTATTATTTTACCTTTGTCATTCATTGAATGTCCAATAGGATAAAATGATGTTTGTATTGAGTGTGTCCTCTAAAAGGAAAACAGTCTATGATAAAAGCATCATAGTGCATTATACAAATATGTATTAATACAGCAGCATCTATAATTAAACTATTAAAACACGTAACAAATAACAATCAAATAGAGTTATAACATGAGATTCTTTCAAATATTATCATACTATCCTAATAGCAAAGATTATGGAGACAAATTTTGAGCAGAGCCTGCTATCAATTTTTGATTGTAGAAAGGCAACAAATTGTACACAAAATTTGTATTATCAGTAAATGCTGTCAGTAATATGACAAAGTCTGCTAGACATGTTATGCCAGCAGATTGAAATCGAATAACTGACAAGTTCTGCATAACCTAACGTTTGCGATGAGAACAGATTGAGAGCAGCATCTGATTCAAGTAGATTCTATTCGGTTTCTGATACTCCAATCTGCTAGTATAGCTTGTCAGCAGACAACTTTGTCAACAAATCTATAGCCAAATGCGGACAAAGATGGCTATGATTTTGTAGTCAAAATCTGATCAAGTTTGCTACCAATTTGACCCCAAATTGCTAACCTTTTACTATCAGAGTATATATAATACAAATATACTCACATCCATGTTTATTAATCTAGCAGCTCCAGCATTGAGCATTTTTGAAGGACAAAACGAACAATAGATTTTATCTTTATTTTTGCCTTCTGTGTCTTTTTTCAATTCAATAATATCTGTCGACATCACTATTCCATAAATGTAAAATAAATATGGTATATAGATTCACAGACTAATTATGATTAATTGGCCTATACCACCTCTTATGGAATGAATCGAATTAAATCGAGTCGAAATCTATCATCCATGATCGTGTTTCGAATTTCATTCGAGGAGAGACCGGGACTGGTTTCATTAAAGTATAGGTCTGTTCGCGTTGCTTGCACTTTTGGCACTCGATATCTTCGTTTTCTGTCTTTTTAAGACAAAATATGTATTTATCTCATTTTAAGTGCAAAAATATTTGGGGATTTCATACAACGCGAACAGACCTTATGATAATCACCCGAGTCAGAAAATTTATTACAGAACATATGACTACAGAACATACTGACCAGAAGGTCCGATTTCTGTGGCTAAACCAATGTACACTTTTAGAATTTAAAATAAAATAGATATATGTTTGATATTTGTCGAAAACGAGAAAGAGACTTCTAGTGCAGTCTAATGGCTTCGGCACACCAGCGCGATGTTAGTCGCGGGTAATATGCGATATCCAATGACAATATATTCTTAGAATGAGAATATCGGTAAAGCTGTATACTCATTGGATATCACGTGTCGCATGCGACGAACATCGCGCTGGTGTGTCGGAGGCATAATATAGAAACAGAAAATAGACCACTAATTTACATCGTACACTTAATACACTATTAATTTTCTATTAAATTATTTTAATTTCAGCAATGTATTTAAAGAATGATGTACTAAATACAATATATATCATAATGATTAATTAAATGCATATATCATGTATCATATATTTATCAAGTTTCAATCACCGAAATCAAGATCATTTAATAGAAAATTACTAGTACTCGTATTTAGAGTCTTAGATTTATAAGATAAGCGCGACTGTGTTAAATATTCTGATTGGTCATTGCAATCACGTATTTAGCAGCAAATGATGAACTTAGTTCCGCACAATAAAGGGAATAGAAAACAGAGAATAAGAATTTCAACCTATCAGAAATCATGTATTGTGGAATAAACAATTTTTGATAGGTTAAAATTCTTATTCTCTGTTTTCTGTTCCCTGTTCCTTTTATTGTGCCCTTATTCCTGCATACTAAAAATAGCTGCTTAATAGATGATTGGTGGATTTCATAGTCCGTCAAACGACGCCATTTATAATATTTCTTCCAGTATTTTTTAGTACTTTTATGGATAATTATACAGTTTAGGATAATCACCTCAAAAATCAATAAAATTATTGTAGGTTTATTCGATGCGTTTTTTGAAATGAAAGAATCTGGCAAAAAAAAAGTGCCGCTCTGCCCCGAATCGAGATATTAAGCGTTAAAGTTATACAACTGTTGAAGTTGAGAAATCTCACACACAGACAAAATGAGGGTAATTTTTCAGAAGAGTTACTTCCGATTTCAATGAAATTAGGTTTATTCGACGCGTTTATGCAAGAAACGAAAGAAAGTAAAAAAAAGCTCTGCCCTGTTGTGAGTTGAGATAGTGGACGTTAAATTTGAAATGTTATTATGTAACGCGACCATTAATCTGTCATGTAGACAATGGATGCGGGGCAATCCTGAGTCAATAAGCATTAGTTTAAACTAGGATGCAGAATTGCTACGCTGCCCCGAATAAAAAAAATACTTTTTCTACTTGGGGCCTTAAACAATAATTCTGATGAATGGAAATGAACCTAAAAAATAAGAAGTACATGTTAGAGAAAAATATCTGTCTATCATTAATGTATATCACTATCATTAACGTAACATCAATATATTAGAATTTTTCACGCAACTACGAAATTTACATACATTCATATTATATTGAATTTAATATATTGATATTAAGTGAGAAATTATAATATTGAATTATTTTTATTGATATTTATAGAAATTACATTATAAAACATTTGTATACACGCTTTGGTACCAACCTCACATAGTAAAGCTAATTTTGAAAGTTTCCAATCAGAAATTCCAACAGCATCATTTTTGTTTCGAGTTGGACAGATGTTGCGTAGCAATATCCTTCTTTATAGAGTCTGTATATCTTGGAGCACTGCCCCTGGCAGGCATTTTATAATACGCACAAATTTTATAATATGCAATAACCTGTTAAGATATCTGGAATGTAAAAATTTGTAGTTTTATGTATATTTTATGTATATATGTAGAGGAAGGTATATATTTCCAAGATTAATAATATGTATCACTTACAAAAATCTTATCAATTGATGAGAAAATTACAGCACAAGGGGACAAGCGTATTGCTTTTGCAATCATCTAATGTACTCTCTACGGAGTTTGTTTACCAAGTCCAATCAGAGGAGATCGAGTCACGTGATGCAATTTGCCTCTCCCTGTGAAGCTCTTTACCTTTAATGGACGATGAAAATAGAATGGCTGCGTTCAGCAAACTCATCAGTTAAGCACTCACTGCTATTGATGTATTCTTCTAGATCTAAAATCTGATTGAACGATCTAAAAGAATACATCAATAACAGCAAGAGTTCGCTCAACTGTTGAGTTTGCTGAACACAGCCAATGGGTGCACTCAGTACTACAACCGCTCACTGAGCGCTCAGTGAGCTCTTATATCTAATTGATGTAATTTTAGATCTAATAGAATATGTCAATCAGATGCAAGCGCTCACTACTGAATGCACCCAATGACACAAATAACTCTAATAGCGCTTCTCAAATCCAATTTACATACACTATAATATTTTCATAGTTTTTCGTATGGATATTTTTGAAGAATAAGGGCCCAAGGCCTCTATTCTCGGAAAGTATCGCATACGAAAAACTAGAGCAATACTATAGTATGCGTTATATATATTATAACATTTCTCTAGTTTTTCGTATGTGATACTTTTCAAGAATAAGGATGCCGTCCCATGAACGGAAATTTACAGCAGAACGGGGCCTTTATTCTTGAAAAGTATTGCATACGAAAAACTAGAGCAATGCTACAGTATATATAATGTATATTATAGAATTTCTCTAGTTTTTTTTAGTTATGTGTACTTTTCGAGAATAGGGGCCCAGAGCAGCGAGACCAATCAATCACAAAAAAGAAAGGAGAGTAATGACTACAGTTGTGATTGGTTGTGCTATTCCGTTTCGCTGTAATTTTCCGCTCATGAGACGTCACCCTAATGCTTCCAGCACATCAGCGCGATGTTCGTCGCGCTGATGTGCTGGAGCTATAAGGATGCGATTATATGGAACATGGTACGTAATAAGGAGCTTGTGCTCCGCACAATAAAAAGAACAGAAAACAGAGAACAAGAATTTCAACCTATCAGAAACTATGTATTTCACAATATATGATTTCTGATAGGTTGAAACTCTTATTCTCTGTTTCCTGTTTTCTGTTCCTTTTATTGTGCGTCTCTAATTAATAATAACTAAGGCTACGTTCCAAAACTTCCTCTCCAAGGAAAATTTTACTCGAAATATATAGCACACGTAACGTATACTATTATAGCATATAGAATAAAATCTTCCTTGGACAGGAAGTTTTGGAACATAGTTAATTAGGCAACTAGGAAACCGCCTCTTTCTTTCGTTAATATTATATGAAACACAGTTTGCGCGTGGTTTGCGGCATGAGCTAGTGACAAACTCACATTAGTATAATTTTTTAAAAATATATTAATTTATTTTTATGCATTTTATCGATATTCTTATTTTTTAACAGATTTACTTAATAATTGCGTTTAAATTAATTCCATTAAAAAATGCATAGTAATGTGAGTTTGTTACTAGCTCATGCTGCAAATCGCGCGCAAACCGCGCCTATGTAATAAGTGTTTTTCCAACAACGTGTACAGGTGACACAGTGTAAAACTGTGTCTTACACAAAGTGTTTCAACTATTGACACAGTATTATACTGTTCAACACAGTAAAAAGCTAAATACGAGCGTGTAAAATATCAATGTTATCAACTTTTCAAAAAGTTATTCGGTAGCCGCACTTATTTTGCAATAAGTCTTTCAAACATCGTCAATTCTGAAAAAAATTATAACTTAAGTCGAAATAAAAATTTATTATTAATATGCTAAATATAATTATAAGAATAGAATGGAAAACTGCAATACATTCTTGTGTTACACTATGAAATATACTGCGTTTCAACAAGTACTTTACATAGTGGAACGCAGTGTAATGTCTCTATGTCCTAGCTGGAAAACAGCCAATATCAGCGAAAGAAATAGGCGGTACGTGGTATGCGGTTTCCTAGTATAGCTTAGTTAGTTACTGTACTGTGTACCGCGTACCGCGCTCCATATAATCGCACTCTTATGGCTCCTGCATACTAGACGCGGAAACGCTTGCCGCATGGCAAAAGACGCGATACCAAGAGACGCGGTAACCAAACACATTAGGAGCTGTAAGCTTATTGGCTACCGCATTTTGTCGTACGGCAAGCGTTTCCGCATCGTGTGCAGAAGCTATCAGGGGATGCAGGAGTCATATCGCATACGAAAAACTAGGGAAATGTCACAGTATATGTAACGCAAACTATATTAGTATTTTCCTAGTTTTTTGTATGCGATACTTTTCAAGAAGAGAGCTCCAAATTTGTTTCATTTGTTCATGTCGTTTTGGGCATATCGAATGAATAAAATTTCATTGGTTTCTAAGGTGATGTGATTATAAAAAACAATTACCGAAAACTTTAAAGAAGTTTGATTATTCTTTTTCAATTACTATTATTTTGAAGCAATAGATAATTGATAAATAAGATTTACCAATTAGGTTAAGTGAAGTATAGTTCTGAAGGAAGAAGGAACGGATTAAAAATTATATATATATATATTGCTGAATTGATAAATTGCAATTTAAATGCAATGGCTAGATTTAAGAAATGCACAAAAAAAGATATATCTGTATTACTTGAAACAAGTTCTGACTCAATTGTTGAAGAATCGGATAAATCCTATGTTCCAGAAAAGAATACAGATAATAATTCTTTTGATGACCTTTCTGATTCTGACA